CCAAGTTAAATAATGAATTTATAACATTGTCGACTATACGTTACAACGAATAAGTAACACTGGATGCAGCTACTTCTGACCGTGTCAACTATCCGAAGCATCTCCAGCAAATTTATGCGCAACGACGAAGTAAATGTGACATCGTCCCAGTACGAAACTGCGGTGATAAACCCTCGAACGACTCGCTACGAACTTATATTCCGTTTAGCTCGTGTTCCCGGTAATTTGAATGTACTTTGAACTCGTTTACCTAGAATTTTGCGACACTAAAGAACATAATATGAATTAAACTCACCCCTCCCTCTCTCTTTGGCCAATAGAAACGTACTACTTACGAAAATGTCTTTGTTTACGTACATTAACTTTTTCGCTACGGCAGTCTTACTTGCGAATGTCCTATCGCGATATGGGGCAGTCCCAACGCGGAGACATTTGTTTTACCGCGACATAACCGACTTTACGAACTCAACTTTAATAGCTAGCGGCGTATTGTAATGTATTAACACTATAACTACCGAGAATTCAATATGATTGATATATAATCCATATAAAAATTGTAACAGTAGATTATTTTCAGTTCATTTGGATAGTTGTCATAGAATTCAACTGAAATTATTTATTTTCAAAATCATTTCGAATATTCAATACTTTTAAGATATTAATCATTGCAAAACAAGAAAACCGAAACCAGTCATTTTTACTGGTATGGTAATTCTAGTGTTAGTTCCTTATTCTAGTTGTGTGGGGTATTACATATTATTCTTCTCTTCTCAATGATTATACTCTTAGAAATTACATATTAATCCTCTGTTATCGATGATTACTCCTTAGAACACACGTTGACATAAGAATAAGACTGGTATTTTCTTTTATTTTCAATAAATTATTAATGACAAAGTAGTGTGGGATGAGTGGTTTGTTGTACGTGCGTGCGGGCGACCAGGTCATGTTGCGACGGACCGGCGCCGCTATGTTTGGGAAAAAGTGTGACTGCGTTTGGAAAATCTTGAGTGGCTGAAAGAATGCGATGAAGAGTGTCTGGAACTGAGCGACTGGACCGAAAAGCGTGTACGTGACTGCGTGAATTTTGACCATGGACGAAAGATACGAGTGAGAAGGGTGCAAGCGTGAGAAAGACAGAGCGAATGGGGGTATGTATTAAAAACGAGTGGAATGCGTGCGCGAGGAACATTTTGTGCGTGATCGTGGAGAGGAACATTTTTGTGCGAGATAATTAGAGAAAAAAATAGATAGCGAGTAACAGTTAGCGAGTCAGCGAGTTTTAATAGAATAAAGTATTTGTTATTGTTACCCAGTAAGTCTAATTTTTTTTTATTCCTCACCACGGCAACACGTGGGATTTTAAATAAAATAACTCCTACAGTAGTTAGATCGATTACAGTCCAGAAAGAAATAATAGGATAAGGGGTTAACACCTTGACTATCACGTTACCCAAATTTGGGTAATATTATTTTTTACATAAACGGAAAAATTAATTACTTTACTTACGTACCGAAATAACCAAATTTTGTTGGATGTGTGAAATATAAGAAGTACAGTAAATAAATCGCTATGAAGAATCTTGACCTTTTAGTTTCCGCTTCGTTAAGAAAACCGTTTCGGCTGTATGAGAGTTTTGATGAGTTTTCGTGTAGCAGTTAACGTGTTAAGCAAGATATTGCATTTGCAAGGTATAATGTTACAGCACCGTCCAATATTAATGCTCGATTGATTCCGCCTAATGCAGCCACGGATAAACTACACTCTCGAGTTTCCAACGTAACCGCTGGTTACAGCCAGAACACTGTATGTACCAGTTTTTGGCCGAACTACACGGAAATAGTAGCTGCATCGACTACCACCGCGATGGTTAATTCATACGTAGTACTAGAAACTGTACATAACATATCAGACAGTGTATATGATTATAAACTGGGTTACAAATAGTATGCTACGTAGAATCGACGCGTTTCAGCAAAGTTGGAATCTCAGTTCCTTCCGGTGTCATCAGATTTGTCTCTTTGAAGCATAGACAAGAACGTACCCAATTTAAACGTTGATTTTCTTTTACATACCTATGTAAAGTTCAAACCTTTGTGTAATGGCTTATTAGCTACTAAATATGTATTACGGAAGTAGATGGAGAGGGTTAAAAGAAATGTCTTACGTTTAAACTTTCTTTTACAGTTTTAAGTGCAATATATGGCAAGGGTTCCTTGCTTAATTTTATAAATATTAATACTCTTGATTACACACGAGGCAAAATGAAAACGTGCTTTACCTGTGTCAATGTTTCATATTTAATGATAAACGCATATCTACAATTTATTCATGAAAATAAAATCTTTGTGTGCTTTAAACCGTTTGCAGTATGTATGTTGAATTGAAAATTGTAGGTATACTTGTAAATTAAACATTTTCTATGGAAACAGTATTTCACAGGCAAAAATGTCATAAATAATCTATACACAACTATAGAAACTTTACAGTCCTTATCCTTTTAATTGAAAACTGTTTCCATATTTTTTGTACAAAATCCTGAACTAAATGTCTTATTAGCTACATTATAAAAAGATTTCTGAATGAGCATACAAGAAGTACTTTTATTTATTCTACTTACCTATATACTATGGAATATGGTTTAATCCATATGTCAACATTACAATTTTTACATTATGTTTTTTTTTCTTGCTGCTATTCAAACAAGTTAATAATTCCATGTACCGTATTATTAATTTAGTCTATCAAAATTAACACTTCAATAGATCTTCTACTAGCAACAGTAAATATAAGCGTTAACCAACAAATCAAACTTATATAAATCCATCTTATAACAATTTCTGTCATAGTTGTTACGCGAAAGAAATTTATCCAGCCCTCTTCCACTCCAACATAAGTACCGTGAAATCAATTAATGAACTTCCAATATCTAAAAGCATTAACAAAACAACCAGAACGCTATTTTACCGTGAACTCCGATTGAAAGATTAAAGTACACAAACAGAACGGAAAATTAGAAGTATCATACCGATCGATCGTCCGATACACGATCGATGACACAGCATTTGGAGATAACGTAGAACTAAACCGATCCTATCTAAAGCATTTCAACTTCCCTGATAGCGCAAAAACAACGTTACAGGGCCAATGCCACAAGAGTAATCGTTTCCCCGGGCCATTCGAAACCGTTCAAACGCTACGCTGTTTGATCAGAATAACTCCTCGGAACGATATCAGCTCCGATGTGCCAATATTTAATTCGCATTAGGCGACGTGACTAGACGGAATCGAAAACGGACGGCTGGAATCGACGTTCCCGTACGAAGATTCCGGTAGTCCCCTGTAGAGGAGAGTTGCCGCGAGGGGTCGTTCGCGGGGGTCGCGTCAGGTCTAGAATTCGCAAGGCGATAGGCGAGGCTGCGAATTGAATGGGAAATTGATGGGCTTCGCCCTGTCGGCCTTGTACGCGCCGTATATCCGACGTACCCTACGCCGGATTCCGTTGTGTCCCGGTCGTGTATACAGGCTGTACCTGCGAACGCCCCGAACGCTCCATCCCCAACCCCTCCTGAATCTATCCCCGGCTTCACTCCCGACGCAACACACGACGCGTTCCTCCCCCGCATACAGAACGTCGTGGATGGATCCCGACCCTAGCAGCGGTGTGCGTGTACAGCTGCAGGTAGCCGACGGTAAACGTCGCCGGTCCGTTTGGACCGGTGTTTACCCATGCTGACCGCTTGAATATGTATCGTCCCGGCTGTGCTTTGATTGTACGCCTTCGCATTTGCATGCGGAAGTGTCTGGGACGCGGACCGACCGCTACAACTATACTCAAGACGCAACAGTCGGCACCGACGCGACGCGACGCGACGTGGCGCCTCCGTCTCCCCTAAACTGACTCACGCCGACTAGTTTCCTTTCAGCTTCGATGATTTTCGACCGTTGCTAATTGGCGAGAGGCTAAGATTGATTTAGAGATGAAAAGCACTTCCGCGTGGACCACGAACGGATGATTTGTCTTTTGGACTCATTTTATTGCATGTTTGAAATTTAGAATTCTTGACATCGTTGTATTCTGTTGGACTTGTGTTTATTGTGTAATGTTTATTGTACTAAGTATATTAGAACAATATTACAAATTAATAGAATTTCGGTAGATCTTAATACTAAAACTATCGGACGGGTCAAATTGACGTACTTCAAAATTCTTATTTTGCAAGTGTTTGAATTATGTATTGCTCTAATTTTTATAAAAAGCTGGAAGTAAGTCATTATGATTGCTCGGTAGTTTTAGTGTTAAGACAGTGTACTCTTCGCAGTTTAGAATATGCTAAGTGTTGGTATGAAGATGGTTCCCTGGAATTTTGGGATACTTTGGAATAGGGGGTTAGGTTGATTCATAGACGAGCAACTGGGTTCGGAGGTCTGAGTAGATAAAAGTTGAGGGGATGTTGGTGGGACTTTGGCTGTTTTCTGTAGGAATTCGCTCTATGACTAATACTTCACTTAGGATGATGCTAGGTATGGTAAGTCAATGTGTTGGCATACAACATTGTATCTACCGCTCCTGATCAAGCCAAGCATTAACTACCAATACGTTTTTCGTCATCATGTAGGATTGTATATTTTCACTTATAAAGCTTTGTAATATAAGGGAATCTCGTAATGTCTTTCTGGTTTCTTTTGGTTTAAACTAGCATAGGATGAGATTTTGGTGATTGGGGAAAGATAAGGCGGTTTGATGTGTATTTCAGAGTTTTTCTTTCGAAATATAAATTGTAATGAAGAATATCGTATTTTTTGATAGTTTGCTGTATTCATGCTTGCGGAGTGAAAATGATATTTAATGTTAGGGATTGAAAACTAAAATTAGGGATTGCATTGATGTTTTTAAAACCAGTTAATATTTATTGTTGAAAACCTATTAATATATACGTTAGTAATCGGAGTAATAAATATATCTATGGGAAATTTGTCAAATTATGTACAAGTGAGGAAACAAATATTAATTAAGTGGTGGAATTTTTAAATTCGCTATTCGAAATCAGAGAATTAATTTTTATTTAACATTTCCTTCCATTTCCATTAATTGTCAGGAAATTTCATAAAATAGATTCTACATATTTAATTTCAATATTCCGTAATACTAGGTCTCCCGACATCGGGAACTGCGAAATCACCGTAATCAATTAAGTTTGACGATTGTGTAACGTAATAAATAGAACTTGAGGAGCTTGTATTACAAGCGATATGTTTCTCAGAGGTCGACTCTTCTTCACAACGCTAATCTTTTGAACACGAACTTGGTAGACATCATTTCGAAACAGCATTTCAAAAACAATGCACTTTCAAAAAATTAGAAAATCTAAGAACTGAGTAAAAACTTAAAGACAAAATTTAAAGAACTCGAAGTTAGGATTAACAGATTAAGAACGACGGACAATCAAGTATGCAAAAGACATAAGACGAAAATAATACATGCACCAAATTATTCCTTTCCTTTGTACAAATCACTAAACCGCAGTATTATTTACACTCCGTGTTCAGCATCCAGGCAACGGGAAGTCCGGAATTCAAATTGAAATCGACAGCCACGAAGCTACAGTACTAACTTATCGCGGCAAGCGGGTAGACTCTATAGACTTTGCGGCCGAATAAGATTCTCCTCAGCGACGCATTACCTCAACACGTCCCATCGATCATCTTTTCAAAGACGACGCCGTGAATCTGTTCGCCCGAACACCGTCGGGCTTCCCCTCCCCAGACAAATATGCAAATCCTGACTTATCTCGCGTTGCAACCTCCGTTAGTTCTCGAACAAAAGTATCGTCATTTCGGGAAAAGCGTTCTAGCGCGACGGTAAGCCTCTCTCCACCTAGCCGACTTTATCTCCTTTACGCGACAAACGTACCCGTGGCCCTGCGCTCGAACTAAAACCAGCCCGTGTCGGTGGTTAGTATATAAGAGCATTATCTCAGGTTTACGTCTGTGTTATCAGATATCACGTCGTTGTGAGAACCGGGTAACCCGAGCGTAAGCCAGCGGGCGCTTCGTGCGCGTACTCTTGCCTCTCGGGGTGCACAAGACCCCGCGGTTTCCGGATGATGCTTGTTCATCATCCGCCCGCCTACTGACATCCATTCAACGGACGGTTACCCTATCCCTAGATCCATTTTCAAATATTAGAAGCTCGACGACCACTCGGACAACTTAATTGCCGTATCTGATCCCCGGAAGCAATCTTAGAAAGTGGTTTCCATCGGCGGGACTAGCCCGTTTCACCTAAATTCCCTCGAATTCTGGTGTCCCGTTGGTTACATGATTTTCATACATCAGTTCTGGTAGAAGGGGGAAGTCCGTCATTGTGCCGGATAGGTTGACAGTCTAATTCAATCAACGAGGAAATTCGTTCCGGTGGAACGATAGACCAATCTCGGTTCCTTGCCGAAACGAGCGCCGTAAATTCTAATTTCCCGCGGAATAAAGCGTTCAATCCGACCGGAGGCCATGTCTTCTGTTACGTACATGGCACCGCCACGCACATAATTTTCGCCGCGCGTTTGCGTTTCCGGGATCGTGGGCGCGATTGTGTCCCGCGGGCAGGTGCGACCCATCCATCCGTCAGGCTGCCTCGACGCGCGCTGAGAAATCGTAGATTAATGCACGTCAAAGTTGACTGCCTGCACCCTGGCTATTATCGAGCACCAGTCGCGCGTTATGCTTCGCGATACTGGAGATTTTTTGAAACACGGACTATCTGAGTCCATTGTGAAAGAAAGCTTTCGAATTAACCGCTTCAAGAATACTGACATACATATATGTATACATTCGACTGACAAGGAAAGGTATCGCACCCGGAAATTTAAAAAGTTATGTACCTTTGTGTGCAACTTAGAGTAAGTCAAACCTTATACACTGCAATTTTTTTCATGCCGAATTTCACTTTGAAGGGGTAAAACCGCCACTTGAAAAAAATGCAAATGTTTCTTTCCCGTGGACTATCTTGAGAACGCTAAAAGAATAATGAAAGTTTCAACAAAGAATACATTATTTTTTTCACATCAATAAAATTGAAAAATAAAATTTGACTTTGAAAATGATTCATTTGAAAAGTTTATTTTACAATTTTATAGACGTGAAAGAACAATGTATTCCTTGTTTAAATGATGAATTTCTTGCGCCAATTGTTTAAGATTTAATAGTTGCTACTAATAGATATAGAGTATTAAAAGAAATGGTGTCAATACTTCTAAGTTACATAATACATACGCATAAAGTAGAAGGAGACAGTTCTACGAAACATAGCTCGATAAATCAACAGTTTCCAAATTAAAACAATTTTTCGTTCCGGTTAAAGCATTTGATTTTCTCGGTTTGAAATTACATTATTATTCCTTTGCATATATTTTTCCTCTATTCGACAAGTACTACCAACGTTGGAAATCCTGAATCTTCTTTTTAGCTTCTTGTTTAACTCCTCCTATAATATCAAATCAGACTCGTGATGAAAATTTTCAATCGAACGCGATTAATCTAAATGTTATTTATTTATACAAATGAAATGTTAATTGTCCATTATCGACCTTTAACCTTTAGAGTAAACGTAGACACAACATTAGTATCAAATTCTTTTCTTTTTCTACTAAATTATTAACGGTAAGGTAATTCAGTACAATATAAACATCAAATGCTTTCTTTTTTCTACTAAATTATTAACGATGAGGTCATTTTATCAAGCATTGTTGTAAAAAAAATCACAAAACAAGGGGTTAAAACAATCCTTACCGTAGATGGTTTGGTTGTGGAATCCTCAAATGACTTTAGGTGACGCCAACGCATCCGTGAACGATAAACCAACAGTAAACTTATCGAATTCCTTCCTCGGGTTACAACGGTATCGGCTCGCTAACCGCGCGTTGCTCGACATTGGCCTGTAAGCCGCGCGAAGCTTGAAACGGACACGTAACTTCTTTAACGGCGGAACGTACGCAAAACTCTGATGCAGCACAGTGCAACGTGGTTCAGTTCGAATGAAACTTTGTTCGCCACTTGTTGCGCGTATCGCGCCGTTTCTGACCGTGTTGCGCAACGAAGTTACATTATGGGACTTTGTTGCAAGTGCACATGCAGCTCGAACTGCGGAACACGCTGCGCCATTAACGACGAGGGGAGACTAATCGCTTGTAACGCGAGTCGCGGAACTGGCTTTCCGAAGGTTTTCGTTCGATTTATTCGGAGACGTACCTTGGTGAGAGTAACGATTACTGTTCCTTTCTGCGACGGAATTTTCAGATTTTCGTTATTATTATAGATTTCTCCAACCCAATCGCATCATATAGCGAGCTGCAGGCATATCAAGTTATTTACCATATAAATCATATAATCATGTATAAATCACACAAACAAATATAATTTATATAATCATATATAAGTCATATAAATTATATAAATCATATAACCATATATAAATCATATATAGTCGTATATAAATTATACAAACATACATAAATTATGTAATCATATATAAATCATATAATCGGATAAACATGTTTAGTGGTTGATCTTACATGATTGTTTAAACATTTTATGAAGCTGCCCTACTACTAGGGTATTTAGATTAGATTCCATTGACACTTGCAAGGGTATTTAGACATGATGCGAATATTGTAGAGCTTGCTATGTAGAGATATTTAACACAAATATTACACCATCATTAGTAAAATTACATGCAATTAAAGCTACTGAGAATGACAATCTCGATAGGTGCACGGAGGAGCGGGAAAATATAAACCGATACAATAGCGCGGTTTGTCAGACCGCACATCCATACGTTTCGACGTCATAATATGACTTTTAAATACAGATTCTAATAATTTCGTACACGACTGCACTACAGGAAAAATTATTTTCTATCGTAATTTTATTTTTCTAATTACACCCTCAAGAAATTGAATTTACATTAATTTTTCCTGACAAATATTGTAAAACGCACTATACTTTAGATATTTTTATAATAATAACTATTGATGATAACGTATGTGTTGAATTAACCGATTGTCAAATCAGTGCTCATTAAATTACTCATGCAGTCAGAACTGTTCCCTTAATTAATTTCCTTTTTAACTTTCATGTAATCTCATAGATTCAGCGAACTTCTGTATCAATGAAAAGATTAATTTTCAAATTCATTAAAGTTTTGTACTTTGTCGAAATTTTTTATGCCAATTCATTTTAAAAGAACACTAAATCGATACCGGTACCACACCAAATCAATGTTCATTTAATATTTCACGAAATTCTCGATATCCACTTGAAATCTAATAAAATTATCAAATGTGTTTTACCTACAGTCCCGTATTCTTCTTATGTAAATTGTTTGTCTGTTACCTAGTTGTAGTAAATTGTCTAATTATAAAATTATCAATTCTCGTATTCATGTGGTAAAAAATGATAACCAAGTGAATCAATTTAATAATTGAATCCATTGACAATAAGAATGTATTATTGTTAACGAAGAATGAGATCATTAATTATAACCTTATTGAAAATGAAATTAATTCCACATGCAATATTCAATTTGATATTGCTTTTATTTAATTAATATAATGTAGGTAATTCTTCGTATTAAGGTGTCATATTCTGCCCAAATATGAAGTGAGTATCTACACTGTCTACAGTATATTGGAAGCAGTCAAATGAGTATTGATATTTTCGTAAAGTGTCAAATGGGTATTGGTATTATGTGGTAATACATATATATGATACTAATGCATATTTGCTGTTGTATCACACTTAATTTGTGAGCTGACATCGACAGCATGGATTTACTATTACTCTGATCATTGTTCATTATTATATCACTGCGTTTCCCCTTGTTACTGACATTTCAGAAATAAATTCAGTTTCTAATTAACCATTAATAAAAATTTGCGTTTAATAACCAAATAGCGCCATCGACAAATTTTAATTATTCGAAAGATATAAAACCCACACTGAAGCAACTTTTCAGTCTATTATACAATAGACCAGAGACCAGTAAACCAGAGCAAACTAGTAAGTTAGTAACTAGAAAGCTAATACCTATTAGCAAAGATGTGTACTTATATCATCTAGGACTTGCTCCTAATACAAGTTACCAACAACCTCTCAAGTTACAACGTACAATTTACCTACCTATTAATTTGCAAGTATCTTTGTAGTCAAATTCACTGCACACAACAGTTTCCAACATCTTTGTACAGACAGTTAGAATAGCTACACGTTAATATACATTCATCCACAAAATGGCTACTTCCTCATACAATAATTATTATTTTCAAGAATTTCTAAAAACGTAATCTGGTTCTCTATTTTTTCATGGATATTAAATATTAATAACTTAATATATTTCTCACTGATTCATCTCAACGCAGTTAGTCGATATAATCAATGTTATTAATGCATCTTATGTTCACTCATACAGTCTTACAAGACTATGAATTAGAGATGTTAAATAGCTACAAATACTGCGCTATAGACTTATCTATAAAATATATATAGTGTGGTGGTGGTTTACTATTAGATGATATTGAAAATGTGGATCTTCAGTAAAAAGAGAATTAGGAAAACAATATATATTTAATAAGATACAGAAAACAATACGGACAACACGTAAAAAATACAACACACGACTCTCGCACCAAAAATGTTCTTCTCCGCTGTCGCTCACCAAAATGTCCATGCACGCATTTCCACTCGCTTTTAACACACACCCCCATTCGCTCTGTCTTTCTCACCCTTGCACCCTTCTCACTCGCATCTTTCGTCCATAGTCCAAATTCACGCAGTCACGTACACTCTTTTCTCACGGTTCAGTCGCTCAGTTCCAGACACTCTTCCTCGCATTCTTTCAGCCACTCGAAATTGTCTAAACGCAGTCACACTATTTCCCAAACATCCCGGCGCCGGTCCGTCGCAATACGACCTGGTCGCCCTTACGCACGCACAACAAACCATTCATCCTACAATAAATATTCTAGATACTACATATAATTTGTGAAAAAATCGATGTACAGAAATTTCAGAATAATGTAACGAAATTTTTATTGGACTGACATGCGATCGTAGCGAAAATAAATAATTAACTAGTGGTTAACATTTAAACCATAGGTCTGTGATTTAATGTTTCTATTAGAGAAATAATAATAATCAATAAAAGTAAATTTAATAATGGTATATTAAATTAATATTTAATATATGGTAATACCGAAAATTGTGAAGTTTAATAATGAATTTAATAATAACGCTAATGAATTAAATAACATCAATGTAATGACGCAATATTTTATAACAGGTATTTTATTGAGATTATGATGTAAAATTGTAAAACGTAATGGCTAACAAAAAAGTTTGATGTATGATCTAATAGTCCATCGACTCTAAAGTGCATCTGTCTAGCGAAATTATTCATTAATGACATCGAAAAATTTTATGTCATAAGAAATTTTGACAGAATATCAACTGTAGATTTTGATATATTTTTACATCTTCAACAAACGTTTTGTATTTATGACGTTCATCAAATTACCAATGATGATTGTCAAAATTAGAAACAAAGAATTTGTTTTATCAAATATTTCGGTTACCGCAGTTAGAACCACAAAACAGTCTATACAAATAATGAATTAATTCAAGTAAACAGTTCTCAGAAAAATTAAACATTTTTAATACAGTTTTATATAGCATTATGAATAATTCTGGAAATTGTAGTTAGAATTCTTTATCTGGAATAATCAATAACATCGACTTTTCCATCTCAACTTTTCAGGCTCTTAATAACTTTTCCATGCGAATAATTGCCGATAAGAAGGTACACATTAAAATTTTTCTTGGAATTCCATATGATACAAAAACTACGCCAATGGATAATATTTCCCGTATAAACATTATTTACATACCCAACTATTCACCTTCAACATCTTTTTCCAACAAATTTGTCGATTAAACATTGCTACCAAATGGAAAACAATTCTTGAATACCACTCTTGAAAACATGTAAACGGTAAACTGAAAAAGCCCCTCTTATGTATTGTTTTCAAAGTTAAATGTTTCATGTAGAGAGCAAACACAGAAAGGGATGAAATTTATTTTCTCCGATTAAAAAACAAACAGAGCACTCGCAACACGCAGACATCGCATTTGTTACAAATATTAAAGTTTAACCGCGTCAGTTATGTGCACGTACATCTACGTTACTTGTCACGTCTCATCCTCATAGTTTCAACTACAGCTTCGTGGCACGAATTTATTGTGAACAGGGTCCGATCAAATATACCGACAGCTTCATCAAATCAGTCGTTTTGCAATGTGCGTTGAATTAAACGATTTTTCGGGACTGCCTCGTCGCATTTAAATAACAATATACATTCCGTCCTCATTAATCGTTAATAGGCCTTCTCGTTCGTCACCGGACTCACTCGATATATACAGGCACTGTAACAGTCGAGCAAGCGTGTACCTGCGTTTGACGGATATGGTTATCTTTCAATTTGTATGAATACCAGCGATTAAAGCGAGCCAGGTTTACCTCAATCGGAATAATTGGAGCCAGCCGGGTGAAATATTTGCGTATCGATAGACGGGCCCGACGGTGTCGCTTTCAAAGAGATTTCCGTGTAATTCGCGTTAATGCTGTTACACCGTGATTTGCGTTCCGCGCGACCCGATACACCGATCAAATCAACGTGCTTCGATGACGAAGAAAGCCACAGTGGTTCTCGACCCGTCGGCCTGGGCGATTGTGTCGGCTCACCGCGGGTTCTCGTCGATTTTTCACTCCAGCCTTGGAGCTCCAGAAAAACGGAGGTCAGATGGAGATACAGTAGAACTGTACTCTGTTTATACTAACATACTGAGGGATACAGCAGTTTATACAATTAATTCGAAATTTTACGATCTCAAAGGATATAGCCGAATAAGTACGGTAAAAGTTCCACCAAACCAAATTTACTGGGGTACATATCATTCGATAGACCATTTAAAATGATCTTGGTCATTTGAAAACTTCAATGAAAATTCAGCATTTTGAAACTGGAGTTTGCAACAGAAAATTCCGAAAAAATTAGCTAATATGCGGACCA